CTTCCTAGACACTTGTAAGGTATCTATAAAACCAGTGACAGTGCTAGCAAAACTGTCAAGTAATGTACATTTGACTAGCTGATTCATTAACACTGGTAGGTCAAAACATTGTATATTGTGCCCAATCAAAATAGGTTTACAATCAACAGTATTCAAAAATTCAACAAACTGCTGAAGTCCTTCAAAGGGCTCTTTATGGTCCACCTTCTTGCCATTATGCTTCAGCACACCACCAACAAAAGTAAGCCCAGTTGCTGCAGATGCATCAAGACTAATTGGGGACTGCGGTGTCAAGTACATGTTGAACTCTCTCTCTCCACATACAGCTGCAATCTGAACAATGTCTGATGTCCTGGCTGAAGTAAATAAAAATAAATATTGAAACTCCCATAGTGTATACTTCTAAGTCAAGTGCAACACAATTCTCTTAACCTTATATAATATATTCCTTAGATATTTCTACAAAGAAAACAATAGTTCACAAACCTAAACCAGTAGTCTCTAGGTCAAATACTGTACCATGTAGGATTTGTTAGTACTCGGTAGTTGATCTAATTTATTCAGAAAAATGTCTTCTAAATCAACGCTCAAACCAATTTTGCTGCTGTATGTATCCGCTGCAATAGAAATGTTTGGAAAAATGATAGGTAAAAAGAAACATCTAAATTAAGTTTCAGATAAATTGTATTTATCTGACTTACCTTGAAGAACAGATTGTGATGCATCTTTTGCAGACCGCTCTGACTTCAGCTCTAAACGCCTCCGCTTTGTGCCCCGCTTTGCTTGTTGTAATCGCTTCAGCTTCAGTCTGCTTTGTGGGATCCTTGAATGCTCGAGGGTGTATCTTCCAGGAGACATTGTCAGCCTTTTATTCACCTGAGAAAAATAACAAATATGAAATTGAAAACTTTTTCTGGAAAAGAAAAAGAAGAATCAACAGATCCGTATCGATATGTAAAACATGTAATTTTTTTTTTCAAGTAAAGAGATTATATATTTTATGGAGTAAAATATCAAATGTGCCTGCATTAAAATGTATTACAGCAAAACTCGGTTATAACGAAGTCACTGAGACCTATAAAATTACTTCATATATATGTAATTCTCTATATCCATATAAGAAGTTCATTAAATTTATATAGATGGGGATCCAAGATGACTTCGCTATATTTGTGAATTCGCAATATCTGTGTTCGTACTAAACGAGTTTTACTGTTACAATAAATTCACACATTTTATAGATATATAAATCTCTAAAAACTTTCAAAACCCTTGAAAATCAGTCATGCATTAAAAATGAAACTGGGTCAAGTAAATAAAAAAATAAAAATGTAAACAAGACAAGAACAAAAACTACACAGACAAGTTTAGGCTACATATGGGTATTTTTGATGTTTCCTTTTAAATACTTTACTTTATAGACATTGCCTAAACTGCCATGTGTGAACATCAAAAGAACATCAAAGAACATTTTTTTTTTCATCTGTATACCTCAGTTATATAATTATACCCCTCATTTTTCTGACAGACAGTTGCAGATACTCTACTATGCAGACTGTCTGAACCTCCATAAAACCTATGAACAGTTTAGGTGACATGGTCTAATTAATAAAAGGTATATGTTTTATCTATGTGCATCGTTTTTATCATTTCATAAATTTGAAAATTAAAAATTCTTACATTCTTTTAGGCGCTTTGCTAGAGACCATGTGGTTAAAATTTTCATTCACTTGAGTGGATCCCATCGACACCAACTCAGTTGCCCGGTCTGCATACTTCTCGAACAGTTTTTCTAGAGCTGATCTCAGAGGCTCACTTGTTAGAGGTTTCCCATATGGCAAGTTTTTTGGTTTGTAACCAGTTTGTTCACTCCTGCACCATGTGCCACACATGGAATGGTCCCCTATTTAGATTAAATACACTAATACAAATACAGCATTCATACATTATCATGAACTCAGACCAATTTCTAGATATTTCTAAAAATAATTAGAAAACAAAATTAATTTTCTTGCAAGTGTCAAACATTAAATATGTGTTCATTCTTTTTGCAAGTAGTATTCTTACCATATAAATGAGGAACAATTTTCCCCAGATCATTGGCTAACTTTTCTGGATCTTCAGATGCCTGATAAACACAATATGTAAAGCATCTCTCAATGTGAGTTCTAACTTTAACATTTTTCAATACTTTATGGTTATTGCTGATTTCCACAAGACTTCCAGTAAACCCTTTTTTCATGTGATTGCTGTCCACCTCTTTCTTTATATCTGGTTCAACAGTTGCTCTCAATCTGGCTATTGTTGTAGAATCGTTGTCCATTACTAACGTAGTAACCTAACAACATTTTATAATTATAAGAAAAATAAAAAACAGTAATGCATTAGCACTTTCATTTACAATCTTCAGATATATATAAATATGTAATAAAGATTTCATGGAAGGTGGCATTTTTTATCCATAGCACTTTCACCTCTTAGCTCTTCATGGATTTTGAATATTGAATGTACACAGATATATATATATAAAATCGAACATATCTATACAATTCATACCTTTTCACCTTGATCTTTTATGCTCTGCACCATCTCGCAAGCCATAGCAGGTTCCATAGATTTGGCTGACCTTGACCAGTTTCGACTGCATTTGTGCTTCCTCACAGGAACATCCTTCCGTTTTGCCAAGTCACATATTCTGCATTTTTTAGATTTTACAGCATAACCAACACATTTCTTGGTTTTTTCCCCCAATCAAACTTGCAGGTCCTTCAAACATAAAAGAAAATTGTTCAATAGCAGTAAATACTTTGCATTATTTTAGTCATCAGTTTAAAGTCAAAGCATCCAATTCAAATTACTAATTACTAATAAGGATAATTGATGCCTTTTTTTAAACATCAAAAAATACCTGTAAGGCTATTGTAGGCACGCCCAGTACCCCCTTTTTGCCAGGCACCATCGAAGCTGACAGTGAGATTACCATCACTCCTGAAGAAAAATCCAATAATTATCATGCATGAAATTTCTATTTTTTTTTTCAATAATTCAAATTATTTTGACAAATACTAATAAACATACTTTTCAACTTCCTCTAATAGACTGGTACGACAAATTTCTTCTGCCATTTTACTCAGTGTACTGCCAACTTCCCTTTCCCTTTCCTTTAGACCTCCCTTCGAAATTCCTGGAATGTTTAGTGCTGCTAAAAAGGCATTTAAATGAGACTCTCCGAAGCCACCATTGATCATTCCTAAAATATTACAAACACAATTATTTAAAACAATAATCAAAGATAAAAACAGGGGTGTGCAATTACCATCTCCCAACGCCCGGGCTACCAATTTTAGAGGTCGGGCTATATTAAATCTATACTGCGTTAGCCCGCCGCGCTAGTAAATCTAAAACGAAAGTAAACATATATTTACCTTGACTGAATTTAGTTCGAATTAACTTTTCTGTAAAATCAAAATCTTAAATTCGTTTTAACCTATATGCATTGTGTGTTCCTATTCGCCAGTCATCTCACTGACAATTATAGTCGATATAAATAGGGGGAAGTACCTGATAATTACAAAGTGCAAACCTTTATTTGTTTTATTTATTTCAACAGTGAACTTCAATGTTTTTTTTTAATCTTTATGTTATACTTATACATGTATTGTTGTCAGTAGTTAATGGGCGTGACTGGCAACCTCGGGATAGTAACTTTGTTAGCCAAACGGGCTAATCATTTATTTTTGTAATATCTATTGCACACCCCTGATTAAAAACACCAATGAATACAAGTTTATCCAAATTCCAAGTTTATTTCAGAACTATAATACACTTACCTACTGCTACTTTCGTAATTATATCCCATGCTTTTCCTCCCTTTTCTGTTAGATGTTTTTTGCCTGTTAACATCATTAAGTAGCCTACACTCCTGGTATTTACACTGTACTTGGAGAATTTGTGCGAGTCCGAATCTAGTCTCTCCAACACAATCGGATAATTGCAAAGGTTGTCCACATCTCTTGCACTCCTTCAAATTATTTGCAAGGATACCAAGTTCGATTATACGTCTACTTTCGCTCCAATCATTTTTACCCGTTGGCTCAACAATTTCTTCTCTAGCAACACGGACATCGCTAGCAAGGGGGTCAACACAGTGATACACATGGTCTTCGTTCGTAACTGGAGTGATAACAGGTGTTTCAACATTTACTTTAGAAGTATTAAAATCACTGCGGTCCCAATATTTTACACACTCTCTCCTCAGGACTTCATTTTGCTCTATACGAGAGGATTTCGCGAATTTCCCCTTCTTATTTCTTGCCGCCATTACTGCGGGATGTTATCGACAAATAATAGTGTTAAAAACCTATCCGGGAGTCCGATCCGGTTATGATGTCACACGACTAGACCCCTACTTTAATACTTTTTCATATAACATAGCTGCCGGTACATCGTTATGAACCCATTCGAGTTTAAATGTGCGAGTGATTGTTCAATCCCTCTGTGTTATTTTACTATAATGTTTGAAACTGATTAAAGAATTACCAGTAGGTTCATAAACTAATATCTGAAATTTAATCTCTCCAGAAATCTGTTGTCAGAAGTAACATCAGCTGTAATACTTTAAATCATGTTTTTGTTCAAGTTTTTTTATTTGTAATTTGTTTTTCACATAGATTTTTGTACAGACCTACCATTTTTCCTTTGTAAATAATGTTTGAACCACAAATATGAAACGCATGCCATTGATCTACAACCCTTGATATGTCGTCCCTTAATAATATTATAAAAAATTACTTTTTTTTAATTTGCAGTTTAAATATGCATCTGTTTTTTTTTTTTCGGTATATACTTGTGCATGTTGTTTAATGTTTGCAGCGCTCTGAACAACTGAGGGTTTTATTTATCACATTTTGTAATATAAATTTTGATAAAGATCAAGATTCTTATAGGCTGTATGTTGTAAAAGGACTATTTATACTTTATTTCTGTTCTTCTCTTCGTAGATATCTTTTCGACAACAATATCACAACATTACAGGACAATGCCTTCGCCAGCTTACACAATTTACGTAAACTGTAAGTATGTCTAGTATGTTATAATGTGTATGTTTTAAAGGAATATTAACACAGTATTTCTTTATTCTCGTCTTAGAACTCTTTCCAGCAGCGATATCACTACGATACAGGACAATGCCTTCGCCAGCTTATACAATTTACGTAAACTGTTAGTATGTCTAGTACTTATTGTAACAGAATAAGTGTAATTATGCATATATTTCCTTTAGTATATACTTGTGCATTTTGTTAACAGTTAATATGAGTCACATTTTTGCATGCACAAAAAGTTACTCAAGTTTTTTTTTTGTTTTATTTGATTTTCCACATAGATTTTTTGTATAGACCTACCATTTTTCCTTTGTAATAATGTAAGAACCACAAATATAAAACGCATGTCATTGATTTACAAACTGTGACGATATATACATATTTTGTACGGAAACTTTTAGTTAAAATAATTGAACTAAAATTGTTTTTTTTTAAATAAATAGTAAAATTCACAAATTTCTGCATAGGACGGTAATGGAGGTAACTGTATGCCTTTTATGATAAGTCGTCCCTTAATTATATATAATAAATGTAACGGTTTTTTAAATTTGCAGTTTAGATACATTGTATGCATATGTTTTTCAGTATATACTTGTGAATGTTGTTAAATGTTAATATGAGTCAAATATTTTTGCATGCACAAAAAATTATCAAGAATATTGAACTGCAATACAGAGTTTTTCTCCTGTATTTATATTTCCCATCTTTTAGCAATTACATAAAAGAAAGAACTCCTTTATTTGAGAAATTACATTTCGAAATCAATGCAAGTACAAAAAGGTAACCGGTATAACGTATAAAAATTATTCCAGTTGATGCTTGCAGGGCTCTTAACAATAGAGGGTTTAATTGATCACATATTTTTAATAAAAATTTAAATAAAGATCAAGATTCTTTGTCACGACACCATCAGCTTGATCAGTGATAACAAGATTGTTGTTGTATTTACAATTTTATATAAAAACAAATATGTACAAATATATAAAATGAAAATTAAAGAACAATTTCAAAATGTCTATTCGCGTTCATCTACGACCACGCTCATAAGTCGTCCACGTCCTGTCCTTGCCAATGTCATACGGGTACCACGCCCTTGCACTGAATGTCACAACGTCCTCGACGTCCCGCTTATCCCAAGCGTCCCAAGCGTCCACAGTGCTGACAAATCCAAGAAACCACGTTTCCCCACACACGACCTCGGCCTAGCGTACCACGCTTTCGTGTAGCCCAGGTTGCCACCACCGACAGCATTAAATCATCGTGTAACCACACGCATGCATATATTCGTACAGGAACCTTCAGCAAATATGCGGAGACAAATATAACAGCTTGACCCCCAACGGGCTGCCTTACAACACATCATAAATGTTTACACATATAGAGTTTTACCTAATATGTATCACACCGTTTCGTACGGCAAAGCAAAATAATGTACAATGTAACGTTACACTCGAAGTAATAAACTAATATCATTACTTTACGCTTAAACTCACGGCATGTGCACTTGGTAACATCCCCGTATACAATTCAAACACTTTCTCTCGTGGATAAATATAGAATAATCTCAATTAATATAACATTGAATTACTTATATAAAAATAATGTAAGTAAATTGCACTTACCCTGATTGGAAATTCAGTTACCACGAATGAAACTAACTAACCCTCCATGAACACGAGAAACTACTTTCACTGGTCAAGGAAAACGTGCGCTTCCCAAGACAAAACTGACAGCACCTTGTATAGCGACTGGCGAAATACTTAAATTACCTGAGCATCACAATGGGGCTCCTTGCAGATTAAACACTAATAAAAAATAAATAAATGTACGTATAACAAAATCGGCATTGATTGTGACATCGCCTCCCCAATTTAAGAAAGTTCGCAGAACTTGTGCAAAACTCAAAATCAACAAAGAAAAAAAAACATGTACAAAACTACAATATTCATAATGTCTCACTCAAATCCTACAACCTACTAAGACAATCAGCACCAACGTTCTTTGATCCTTTAATCGCCACAATACGGAACTTATAAAGTAGCAAAAGTAAGAACCGTCTTTCTCTTTCACAATCACAATGGGTGAACAATATGGACTGTTCGAATTCTCAATCACTCCCGACTTTATCATGTACCTAACTTTCTCACACACTTCATCACGAGTTGTAAAAGGTTAAGGGTGTGGTTTGGATCGCACAGGTTCGTCACTTGTAAACTTCATATGATGCTCATCCAGCGTAATACATCCTAGAATATATATACTCTCCATATAACGATTTCACTTGTTCACGTTCACTTATTGTCAATTCATCACTTACTTTGACATCACTGGGTTTCTCCTTCGAAGTAGGTAGTGTTGAATCTATCAGATCACTGTCGCCAACTGAATCGTCTCCTTCAACATCCACCATTGCTGCACTAGGGACACCTAAGACACCAGCATCAACACAACATTCTTTCCTGTCAAAATATAACTTGAGCATATTTGCATGGAATGTCTTAATTTTGCCGTTCATGTCTATTCTATAATCAACTTTTCCAATTTCTTCACTATCTCAAAAGGACCTTTGATTATTGCAGAAGCGAAAGTGACGCAATATTCTCGTGAATTTTTAATAGTCAGTGCCATTTAAAGACTATTAAATTTTAGCAAAATGTGTAAGTACCGGTACCCTTTTCATAATTCATTACATTGGAAAAAAACAGATTAGTATACCTGACTTAATATTTTTTTCACATGACCCCACCCCCCACCCCCATCAAAAGCGAATCGGGGATTGTTTACGTTTTACTCATAAAAATAATTACGTTCATTAAACCATCCCTTGACTCCCATATGTTTAATTAAACCAATTATTCGACAGCTCATTTTAACAAAAATCTGGGGCCAAATACAAAGTAAACTTACACCATCAGCACGTCTTTTTTGGCTTGAAATTACGAACCTTAATAGTTACCCTTGAAATCAAACATACATGTAAATCATTTCAAAAGTTGAACCATTGCAACAATTCAACTTCATAAAATTTTTCATGACCTTACCGTTTGATCGATTCATCGAGAAAGGAAGAGGCCTAGGAGAAAGAGGAGAAAACCACTAAATATTAGACTATATGCAAATGGAACTAAATTATCCGGAATGATGGGTTGTGTCTAAGGGTGAATATAATTATATATCTGAAAAGACTACAAATATCCGGAATTGAGGGACATACGGTTATTGAAATAAACTCAATAAAACAATGACAATTAAAAGCTAAAATAAAAGTGAGTAAAATGTGGTGCAAAGATAATTATAATAGCAACATTTTAATGGCCCTCCTCCTTTCTGAATGGTCATTTTGCCAACGTCTTGTGTTTTTTTTAGTGAAATTAGTTTTTAATATTTGATAATGATAACAAAAAGATAATAATGGCACCAAACCCGCACCGAAAAGCTAAGATTTATTGTTTTTAAATTTTGTTGAGGAACATTAGTGTCCATCAGTGATAATTGATTTTTATTCAATGGTTTTTAAGAACATTCATTTATAAATATACCATTCTATAAAGTAGTTTTCAAATAAATATAATTATTAGAGTGAACACTTTTCTTAAGTGTATTTTTTATACATACATGTATATTACTAAATGTTTTTAAAATTTTTATAGGAGTTTTATTGTATGCACAAAAAATTATCAGGAATAATAATTAGAATGCAGAGTAATTTTTTATTATAATCAATTGTCACATTATACAATATTTACAATATCTTATTAATATCAATGCATCATTTAAACATATAATATAGAAATACAACACCAAAACAAATAGTAACAACTGAGAGGGTGGTGGAAAAAGAAAGACAGAGAGAGGGGGGTGAGTGATGATGAAAGAGCAGAGGAGCATGTTCATAGGAATAAAGTAGTGGAATATGTATGTCCAAGCATTGCAGAAGGTCTTAAGTTGTCTGCTTTAAGGGTCTTACATGAGTGAAGACCATTCTTTCTATTTACTATTAAATTCGCTAATTTGATTGCTTACACAATTTACGTAAACTGTAAGTATGTCTGGTATGTTAAAGGGTGTATGTTCTAAAGGAATAATAACACGGTATTTCTTTATTTTCTTCTCAGAACTCTTTCCAGCAACGATATCACTACGATACAGGGCAATGCCTTCGCCAGCTTATACAATTTACGTGAACTGTAAGTATGTCTAGTACTTATTGTAAGAGAATAAGTGTAATTATACATATGTTTCTTTAAGTATATACTTGTGCGTGTAGTAAAAAATTAATATGAGTCACATATTTTTGCATGCACAAAAAGTTATGAAGAATAATTAACTGCAATGCAGAGTATTTATACTGTATTTATATTTCCAACATTTCAGCAATTACGTAAAAAATAGAACCCGTATATTTGAGAAAGTACATCTAAAAATCAATGCGAGTGACATAAGTAATCGATATAACGTATAAAAAGTATTCCAATCGATGCTTGCAGCGCTCTGAATAATTGATGGCTTAATTTATCACATTTTTTCTTTAAATTTTGATAAAGATCAAGATTCTAAAAAGGTGTATCACTACTGGCTTTTAAAACCCCTGTCCGTATGAAAATCCACTGTCTTTCTCTGTATCCTACAGTATTTTCACAGTAATCTACGGTATATCTACAGTATGCTACGGTATGCTAGCTCTGTATATACAGTAAATCTCTGTATGCCACTGTATGTATCCCCAGCATGCCACAGTTACATATAGTAGGCCCCGATACGCCTACAGTATGCCACTGTATGGCTACTGTTTCCTACAGACAACTACGGTAAACCACAGTATATGCCCCAGTACGCCCCTGTATATGTTCATTGAAGCAAAAAGAAGAAGTTTAAACACTCCCAGAGCACTGTACGGTTACCTAAGATGTGGGATTGTCAATTTAGTACACAGAGTTACTTACCTAAGAAATTTTTGAACATTTTTTTAAACAC